TAACTGGCTTGGTCTGATCAATTAACCGACCCATAATATTTAATGCGTAGTCGCGGGGACACGTCACATTCGATAGTATTACACGGAAATCCTGAGGTTAGTTCAACAATCAGGGCTGTTTATATTTATTCATCATTTAAATAAATAAAATTAATATTGTCATTTTATTTTCTTTCTTTTTTTTAAATATTTTTTTTCTCTATTATAAGAATATAAAGTGCAAAAAATTTAAAAAAAGAAAAAAAAAATTCGTTTATATAAATATTAACTGAAAATGTCGGAACTTATAATTTTTTTTTTTCTACTTAAAAGAATAATACACACACGTGATTGTCTCACTCAAGTGCAACCTATACTACTTGCAAACCTATCTAGTGGTAAAACTCCAGATAAATCAGACACACTTTGTGCACCCATATATTGGATTTGTTCGGAGTATTTCTTTTTTTTCTTAAATTCATTTTATTTTTAAACAAATAATTTAAAAATAAAATTTTTTTTCTTCTCTAAATTTGATGTATAGTGAGGAATTTGTTTACTAATTCAAATTAGTAAAAATTTTCATTTATTTAAATTAGTGAATAAATTCTCACTATATTATTCAAATTTATAAAGTAAATATACGGAGAATGAATTTTAATTTTGACAAATTGTTATTAAATAAGATATATAAAATATAAGAGATGAAATATATACGCTTATTATTTATATGTATTAAGAAATGAGGGGTCGAGGAAATCACATCAATTTATTTGAGAAATCAAAATTATTCGAAATAATAAATTAGGTTTAATGAGAGAATAAATAAAAAAAAAAAACTTCATTTCATAAAAATAAAAAAAAATTGTTCGAAATATTCCAACAAATAATAATAATAATAATAATAATAATAATAATAATAAATATAATCATAATAATAAACATTTTTTCTACATAATAAATAAATACGTAAAAACTAAAAAAGAAATTGTACATCAGAAATTCAATACCTAAAAATGTATTCAGAAAATTTTCCACAAAAATTCAATGGAAAATTAACTTTTTACTTTTTTTAAAATGAAACTTTTCTTGTTAAATTTCTATTCAACAAATTTAAAAACTTGTATATATGCCTTTATTCCTACAATATTGTTTTTTTTCATTTTTTTTTTTTTAAAGGAAATATAACAGTTCAAATTTTTGAATTTATATTTTTAAACAAATATCAATTTACCTAAAAGTATATAAATTTATGTCTTATACTCAAATAGAATTTAATAAATTTTATACTATAAAATAATTTCACACTTTTGAGTTCTATAACTAAAAAAAAAAAAAATTCTAAAAAAATTCTTAAACTTGTAAACTTTTTCAAATTTTTCTTGCCAGCAATATATCTATATGAAATTGTAAAAAAAAAAGTTTTTCTTTAAAAAAAAATCTGACCTAAATGAAAAAAAACGACAATTTTCCTATACTGGATGCAACTTTTTTTTTGGAAAAAAAATCTAGTAATAAAAAGTAAATCTAGTCTTTTGCTATAATAAAACGAAATGTTCCATTTTTGTAATTTTGAAATATACGCATATAAATATTATATATGCAGTAAGTTATATTTGTTTTACTCCTTTATGAGTACATAAGTTTCTCGACTGTTATTAAAACTATATAATGTCAAAGACATTATATATATATATATATATATATTTTTTTTTTTAAAGTAAATAAAAGTCATGAAACAAATTAAAAACTATATCCATAATCCTTAAAAGTTAAATCTTTACTTTTTTGGTTTTTATTCAAAAATATATATAAATCTCCAAAAAAATAGCTTTTTAGAATGTGATATTAATTTAAAAAAAAATAATAATAATAAAAAGGTTATTAAATTCTCAAACGTTCAAGTGTATTTTCTTTGGTTCTTAAATTTTACTATTACTCATGATTCTTATATAAAATAAAAATTGTTATTTAACTCAATATAAATTCAAAATTTACAACAAAAAGAATTTTTATTTAACAGAATTTCTACTTAGTTGAATATTTAAAAAAAATTTTAATTTATAATTTCACCGAAACTGTTGCCATACCCAGAGAAAAGATTTCTTTGTTTTAAAGAAACCAGTTTCTTTGACTTGTTTTCTTTCAAATCAAAATAAAATTTTCTTTGAAACAAAAAAAGCTTCTTAGTGTTTTAAAGAAAATTTCTTTGACTCAAAAAAATTTTCTTTGAATGAAAGAAATTTGTCCATTAAATCAAAGAAATTCTAAGATTGATATATTAGGGTCTAAGAAACATTTATTTGAATAAAATAAAAAAAATTTCTTTGAAACAAACACGGAGAAAAAAGAATTGTTGTGGTTATTAAAAATTAAGTCTACACAACAATTCCGGATTGTCAATATAGAACCATAACAGTTCTATTTGTTTTTGGAACAAAAAAAAAATTGTTCAAATGGGATTGTTACTATTCAGATTGTTCGGTAAACAAACAGAATTGTTTGAAGAACAAAGAAAATTGTTATGGAACAGTTGAAATAACAAAACTAAATTGCTAAATCGGCAATACAATTTGTTGTATTAACAAAGCTTTGATCAGTTTAATACAATTTGTTAAGTTTCTTCGCCTTCTAAAATAAACGATAACAGATTTCCGTAAGTCATATCACCAATTTCATTTGCATTAAAATCTGTGGAACATTCAGCTTCTGAATCAAATTCTTTGATCTGAATCCAACAAATTATTTTGAGTTGAAATTTCTTAAATAATATTTAATATATATTTTGTATTTTTCAAGGTGAGGTTATGTTCAATAGTAACCGAGTATAATTTATCGATAAACGATGAAATTGTCTCTTCATCCATTCACTACACTTTGCAATAGATTTCTCACTTTAACCGGATTCATTATTTAACAGCACTTTGTCATTTAAAAAAAAACTAATAATAAAAGCAAAAGTGGCACATATACCAGAAGCAAACAACGCGATGATCTGCACGCCAGTTTGAGAGAATTCAAGATGACCACGTGACATGGAACAATAAACCTGCTAGCTGAACAAATCCGGATTGTTCCATCGGCAATCGACACAGAGTTTGCTTCTGCAACTGTACGGAATTGCAAACTGAACAAAATTGACAACAAAAAATTCGTATTGTTGTTAAAACAACATACATTTATATTGACAACAATCCGAATTGTAATATTAACAATTCGAATTGTAATATCAAAACAAAAGCTACTGACAATAATTTAAAAATTGTTTGCACAACAATCCAATTTTTCTCCGTGTAAGATAATTTCTTTTTTGAATCAAAGATAATTTGTTTGAAACAAATAAATTTTCTTTGAATCAAAGAAAAATTTGTCAAAGAAATCTTTTTTCCGCATAATAGCGGTTGCTATGGTAACCATCGCTAAATAGTAACGATTGCCATGGTAACCGATAACATAGAAACGGTTTCTATGGCAACCGCTATTATTGTTAAATTAAAATTTAGTCAAATGCAAATTTATTTACAGTATATACAGGGTGTTCCAAAAGTATGGAAACTTGCAAATATCTCGAGAATTACGCATTTTCGTGAAAAATATTAAAAACAAAAATTGTTCCAAAAAAAAAAAAATTTACATATTATTTGAAGCCAAAACATTGGTCTCGGGACCCAACAGTGAAAAAAGAAGTATCACGAAAATGCCTACTTTTCAAGATATTTGCAAGTTTCCATACTTTTGGAACACCCTGTAGAAAATCCGAGCCGAAATTTTTCCCTCTTTTCATCCTCGATTTTCTCAGCCTATTTTTTAGCCTGAAATCATGCGCTTACTTCCAAATCTGCATGTTTAGAGGTTGAAAAGAGGTCTTGGAATTTTTTCTTAATTTGAATTTTTCCAAGTTTTATTCCTCCTAAAAGTTCTATAGTATTACGACAAAGACCAACACTGAAAAAAAAATTCTGGTTAGGCTATATTTAACATTACTTTCTAGTTATGTTAACCAGAATTACCTAAAATTATCGTTAAAATAACCAGAATTCTGGTTAACCTAACCAGAATCAAAATGTTAAATATACCCTAACCAGAATTCTGGTTATTCTAACTAGAATTCTGGTTATTCTAACTAGAATTCTGGTTATTCTGACTAGAATTCTGGTTATTCTAACTAGAATTCTGGTTATTCTAACTAGAATTCTGGTTATTTTGACTAGAATTCTGGTTATTCTAACTAGAATTCTGGTTATTCTAACTAGAATTTTTTTTCGGTGAATAAATATATCTTCAATAGGGTCAATAAATAATGTCCATAAAAAAAATCCAATTTTTACATTTCTTTAATTTTATTTTTTCGTTTGTTTTAACCTCTTTTACGCCTCTCTAGTAATCTTTAAACCCTCCTCCTTTCAGCCTCCAATATAGCAGATATTTGCAAATTCGACGTCGAAAAGAGGGTATGAAAGTGTTGGAGAGTATAAAACGAGGATAAAAGGAGGTTTTTAGAGAACTTATAGAGAGTCTAAATTTCGACTCGGAAATTTTGTGAAATGAAAATTTGTTTTAATGAAAATTAATTCAATAAATAAATATAGTATAAAATATACAATAATTATTTTATATAAAATTAAAATAATGATTCGAAAAAAAAGAAATTTACAATTTCACACATTTTCCATGTGTTAAAAAATACAATTTCAAAAATTTTCACACATATCTATACACAAATATCGTCACATCCCTCCCTCTCTCTCTCTCGATATTTACTTCACTAAATCAGAAGTGTAAAAAAAAGTGATGAAAGGGGTAAAGATGGTTCACCTTCTAACATCTCGAAAACGAGCCACGAAATTCGATCCGACTCCTCTTCTTCTTTGCCAGAGGGTGCGAATCGAGCTGTTCATGGACAGAGTTTAAGGGGGGTTGGTTGGTAGGTAGGTGGGTTGAGTGGGTGGATGAAGAAGGAGGAGAGGGGCATGGGGGATGAAGATTCGAAGGGATCCAGGGCGGCATAAATTTTCCGAGGTTGCGCGACGATGTGTTCGGGTCGGAAAACGGAGCCGGGAAGGAATATACCCGGCAGATCAGTTCGTTCGAGTTCAGTTCGTCCCGCGCGAGCGTCGGTCGCTCGGGTTTTCATTAAATATCTATATATTTTCACAAAAGGTGTTTTTTTAAAAAAAAGTAAAAAAAAAAATTTATTCTTTTTTTTGGTTGTCAAAAATCGCAAAATTTTTTCATTTTACTAATTTATAGAGAAATTATATTGTTGAACAAGATTATTTATCGACTGGATATTAATTTTATCATCACAATAAACCTAAAAAGGAGATTATTAATTTCTATATATCAACTTTCTCTCTTCGAGTGAGTCTCTCTCTCTCTCTCTCTCTCTCTCTCTCTCTCTTATTCTCTCTAGTGTGTTAATAGTTCACTGTCTCTATATATACTACTTGTCAATGTCACGACATTATGTGTTCGCTTATCCATATATAATGTGTCACTTATCTTTTATCAAATAATTCATTGTCGAGGTTAATTTTATGCAACAAATTTCATGGCACAAAAAGGATTTTTGGTTTTTATTTTCATATATAAAAATGAAATTCTCTACATTTTATATTATTACAAAATTTGTATAATTGTATAAAAAATTAAATTATTAATAATTTTTGGAATTAAATAATTATTAATTAATAAATATATTTGGATTTCTTTTTTTAAAAAAATTAAAAAATATAAATATTTGTCACTAGAAATTGTTTAAATCAAATATTTAAACGGATTAGAGCGAAAATTTAAAAACTTTATTTATTAAAAATATAAATTATTTCTTATAATATTAAAATAATCTAAAAATATGAAAATATATTAACAAAAATTTTTATTATCTGATAGATTATTTCAAATTTTTACTAATAAAAAAATTTATTTTGTTATAATTTTTTTTCAAATATAAGAATAAGAAAATAAATCCAAATATAAAAGAAGGAAATATTAAAATTAAAAAAAACTATTATATTAATGCTTAAAGGTGCTGTGTTCAATTTCAACAAAGTAATGAAACACAATTGATATATATATATATATATATATATATATATATATATATATATATATATATATATATATATATATGTAAATATCGAACAGTCCGTTGTTTACCTTTCATTCACATATATAATCTATATCAAGTGTTACATAACGACTTTGTACTTAAGCTTCCGGAGTTAAAGTACTTGTACGAAAATTGAACAAATATATTATTTTCTTTTCATTTACATAATTTATATATATATATATATATAAAATGCTTGATTGATGAAAATTTTTTTAAAATTCATTCTCCTGCTTGTTTATTTGAACAAAAAAAAATTTTTTTTCCAATTCTAGAACAAGGGCATACAAATCAATGATTGTTCACGTCAATATACAACATGTACCTTTAAATTTCTATTAACTAAACCATTTGTTTTTTTTATATAAATTAACCCGAATCAATAAAATTATGTTTTTTGAAATAATTTCCTAATTTTATTATTTTAATTATCGTTCTTTTTTTTAGTGTGAAAAATCGGAATTTGATGCATACAATTAAACTAATATTATTATTATTATCGATTATTATTTCAATGTAATTTAAAGTATGAGACAATATGGAATTAAAATAATTCCCTAGAATATTAGGATAAAAATATATATATATATGTATATAGTAAAGTCAAAAGTAATAAGGGGGACTTTTTATCTTTGAATTTATTATTTTATGGATATTTACATATTTATACATTTACGACATTCGTGTGTGTCTCTAATCTATATATAGTACTAAAATAGATCGTTTATTATCCGAACATGTGTCAAACATACCATTAAAGATTCACACGTAATGTTTCATATGACATCTCTTATAAGTAACAATTGATATTTCTCATAATTATTTTATAACAGAAAATTAATTTTAATTCAATTTCAAATACCTATACTCTCTACACTTTGAATTAGTGAGAATTCATTAATTTAAATTAGTAAATTTTTTTTTTTACTGTACTCTAAATTAAAAACAAAAAAAAAAATTTTTTAATTTAAAAATAAAATTTATAAATCAAATTGTAATATTTGACTAAAAATTATTCAATTTCTATTTATTTTTAATCATTTATTATACTAAAGTTCTAGTAAAAAAAAATATTAACAAAAATAATATAAATATATTTATATGAATTAAAAAAAAAAAATTTTTTTTCTTTCATAAGAAGAGACAAATTGTTTCGCCCTTTTTTGACATGAAGACAACTAATGTTAAATAATTTAATAGGCATAGTCTGTTGGTTATATATATATATATATATATATATATATATATATATATATATTGGTACCTATGGCCGATCATAAAAAATATATACGTATTGACACAATTACTTCCCGTATAACATCCATTTGTATTCTTAAAAATAACTCTATTAGCCTTGGATATTTTCTTATATATGTGTGTTATATGAAAAACAGGGAAAAATAAGTTATATATGTATGTGAAAAATAGAATTAATACTTGACAAATATTTGAACAATTATCTTATTAACTAATTGCATTAATTTTAATCCTTTAATTAACATTGATGTTATCTTTCATCTCGTATATATATATATATATCATTTACCCTTAGTGAAAATTAATCTAAAGCGGAGTTTTCATTCGAGAGCACGCAACTCTTGTTTCCCTATTAAAATCCCGTTCATATAATTTAGAATTTTATTTTAGCCGACAATAAAAAAAAAATGTTCAATTAAAAATTTTGCATTAAATAAATATTTATTCACCTTTTTTTTTTTTTTTATTAACTTTGCGAAAAGTAAAAAAAAATGACAATGAACAAATTTTTATTTAGCGCAGAATTTTTATTTAAAAAAAATTTAAATTTTTAACGAAAATTTTGATACAACAAAAAAATTAAATAGTTAAAAGATAATTAGTAAAATTTATTTCAAAAAAAAAAAAAAAATCAACTCATCTTTGATTTATCGTGAAATTAAATTATTTACACAATAATCAATCGACAGGTTTTGCTCATATAGTGGGTAATGCAACTATCAATAATAACAGGTTCTCTCTTGCATTTAATATCCGTAATATATAGGAAGTAAGTATTATTAAAACATATATATATATATATATATATATATACGTAATGACAATTAATGCTTCTACTAATGTTGTTAATTATTATATTTGAACATTATTTTTAAAAACTTATTATTCTTTTATAATATTATTTATGAAAAAAAATTTCACTTTTAGAAAAAAAATTTTTCTACAAAAATCTTGTATAATAATTATAAAACAATATTACTTTATCCTGAAAGAATGTAGCACGTGCTTTATTATAAATTTGCGCGTCTATACAATTAACGAGCATTTTAATAAGATATATAGTCGCGCTTAACTTGTATGCATTTTAAACAGAGATTAATAATTTTATTAATTTATTTTACATTTATTAAATTAATTTTTTATCTACACATCTAAATGATTAATATAATAATACTTGAAAAATTTGTGAAATATAAAAAAATGTACGAAAAAATATTGATTTAAAAAAAAATGCTTGCGATATATATTAAGCAGAGAAAAATGGAGTTGACGCAAGAACATTAAAAATGCAGAGAAAATGTGACGCGTTAAAAAAGTTATCAAAGAGACAAGAAAAATGAATATAGAAAGCCAACACGGTAAGACCCAAAAGAATAGCTTGAAAATTGCGAATTATGATCCACCACTACTCTCTCAGAATCTTGTATTTCCTTGCTTTATTGCTTCACTTTTTTTATTCATAAAAAAAAAGAAAGAAAAGCTCATCGTCTATATCATTTTACTCGCTTTTACACAAAAAAAAAGAAAAGAAAAACAAAAAACAAGGTGCCTCGAATTTTTTGCATTTTTTCCTACATTTTTATGCTCATCCAATAAAAAAATATATAAAATAGCGCAAAAAAGAAAAGAATTCAAATTATAATTTTTATTAAGTTTTATAATTAAAATGTCAATTCTAGAGAATTTTTCAAAGAAAAAACTTTTCTTCAAAAGCAAGTAATTAATAACAAATATATTGATTTTTAAACTAATTAACAACCACTTTAAAGTTTTATATTTATTTTTAAAATTATTTTCATTATTTAATATATATATATATATATATATATATATATATATATATAGACTTATTTCAATTACAAACGTAAAATACACATTTAACGATATTGAACGTAATCAAGTAGAAATAATTTTATTGAATATAGAAAATTAAATCATAGAATTAGTTAAACGACTAATGATGCAATAAATTTACATTTATTATGCAAGCTTTTAATTATTAATCGCAATTTTTTATAACGAATCTAATAATTTTATTTATTTATTTTTAAAAAAATTTTTCTTAATCTAAAACAAATTGATTTTAAAATATTTAAAGAATGTTATTTTTCAAAATCAACATTTTTCACTGGTTTAAAAAATTAAGTAAAATAAAATGTTGAAAAAAAAAAAAATTGTCAATTACAAATTGTCATTCTTATATATACCAAAAAGTATAATACACTTATCTAACAAAAAAAGAGAGTATAAAAAAAGAAAAATATATTAAATGCAAGATAAAAGAACCTTCATAAATTTTCCACCTCAAACGCTCTCCTTTCTTTCTTTCTTTCTTTTTTTTTAAATAGAGGGCAAAAGAAAACTGCGTCGAAAAGAAAGAAAGAAAGAAAAAAAAAACTATTTTTATTGCCTCTTCAAATTTTAATAGTTTTTTGTAATAAAAAATTTCACACTTTTTATAAAACAAAGAAACACTTAAAATATTATTGTTCTAAATAAACTTTCAACAATAATACGGATATTAAATAATTATTTTTTTTTTGAAAATAAAATAAGCTTTAAATGCAAGAATAAGAAAGATAAGGAATATTTACAAAAAAACGATAAATAAAGATAGAAGTAGAAAACATTATATAAAAAGGTTGCAAAAGAAGATATGGAAATTTAAAATACACAATGGATGAAATGGATATATATATATATATATTGTTTGGAGAGAAAGACACAATGTATACAAACTCAATCTTCTATTCCGTTTGCATTTGTTGATTACAATTGAATTGTACAGAATTCTATTCGTAACAAAAGAGTTCCTTTTAACTGATGTATTCACAAATCCTAATCGAGAAAATAGGTTTAGTTCTACCTGATTTGATCAGGAACTCGACAACTTTTGAACGCAGAGCTAATTTATATTTACTGAAATGTTTCGCGACTTAGTTGTAAAGAAAAATTAAAAAAAAAAAAAAATTATAATAATAATTTGCCCAGA